TGGGGTTGAACCCTAAACCCCAAACCCTGAAGGTTTTGGGTCAGCAGGCTTGTGTTTCTGCCTTCAGGCTGTTCGGGTTTTGGGCTGATACCAAAAACATGGTAAAGCCCAGAAGCTCTTATAAGATTTAGGGTTCAGGGTTTAGGGTTGAGGGGCCCATATTTCACTCGTTCAATGAACTGTTCGAGGGTTCAACTCAAGCTTCACGCAAGGTTTAGACAACTTGGAGTATTCCCTGCAGGGGAAGTCAGGTCGGAGAATGAACGGTTCTGGCCTGATGGTCCATTTGGGTGGTTGTCAAAATTATGGTCCCTTGTTGGGTCCTTATTATAATAAGGCACCTATTATTTAGGGTACCCCAAAGGGGACCATAATTTTGACCACCACCCATTTGCGTGGACATTGGGGCTCTTGACCCAGATAGCCACAACCGCCGCTGTCGGCCCAGATCACGTACTACCCGACCAACACGAGCTCCTTCACTGTCACGCATCTCGGCGGCTTTTGTGGTAGTAGGTTTTAGGGTTTAGGGTTTAGGGTTTAGGGCTTCACAATGGGCTTTCGGTTCTTGGCTCAATTGCGAATGCACAAGAGAGTTATACTGTACAATTGACGATAACGGCTCATGTTTGCTCTGGCTTTGGTATGAGTATGAGACAGTATGAGCATCAGGACAATAACCAGTGATAGCAGCATCAAATTTGATCATAGCCATCACTGCTAGAGGTGATCTCCTAAACCAAGTCATCTAAGACGCTGGAGGACTCCCGGCAGGTTTGGCTATGGTTTGAGGTTATCATCCCTGACCCGCAAACCCTAAACCCTAAACCCTAAACCTTAAACCCTAAACCGTTGCAGAGCCTCTCAACAGTAAACACCAAAGCTCTCCAGGCCTTAAGCCCTAAACCTTCGACCCTAAACCCACAAGCCCCAACCCCGCAAATCCTGAAGCCCTCAAAGCACTCGACCTGTATAGTACCCTTATCGAAACCTCAAAGGGGCCCTGAACAGAACTCTCTAGGTTTAGGGTTGGGTTTAGGGTTTA